CAGCAAATCTGATGTAAACATAATCACACACAGAATAACCAGCAAATCACACACAGAATAAACAGCAAATCTGATGTAAACATAATCCCACACACAGAATAAACAGCAAATCTGATGTAAACATAATCCCACACACAGAATAAACAGCAAATCTGATGTAAACATAATCCCACACACAGAATAAACAGCAAATCTGATGTAAACATAATCCCACACACAGAATAAACAGCAAATCTGATGTAAACATAATCCCACACACAGAATAAAACATAATCCCACACACAGAATAAACAGCAAATCTGATGTAAACATAATCCCACACACAGAATAAACAGCAAATCTGATGTAAACATAATCCCACAGACAGAATAAACAGCAAATCTGATGTAAACATAACATAATCCCACAGACAGAATAAACACAGAATAACCAGCAAATCTGATAATCCCACACACAGTAAACATAATCCCACAGACAGAATAAAGAGCAAATCTGATGTAAACATAATCCCACACACAGAATAACCAGCAAATCTGATGTAAACATAATCCCACACACAGAATAAACAGCAAATCTGATGTAAACATAATCCCACACACAGAATAAACAGCAAATCTGATGTAAACATAATCCCACACACAGAATAAACAGCAAATCTGATGTAAACATAATCCCACACACAGAATAAACAGCAAATCTGATGTAAACATAATCCCACACACAGAATAAACAGCAAATCTGATGTAAACATAACATAATCCCACACACAGAATAAACAGCAAATCTGATGTAAACATAATCCCACACACAGAATAAACAGCAAATCTGATGTAAACATAATCCCACACACAGAATAAACAGCAAATCTGATGTAAACATAATCCCACACACAGAATAAACAGCAAATCTGATGTAAACATAATCCCACACACAGAATAAACAGCAAATCTGATGTAAACATAATCCCACACACAGAATAAACAGCAAATCTGATGTAAACATAATCCCACACACAGAATAAACAGCAAATCTGATGTAAACATAATCCCACACACAGAATAAACAGCAAATCTGATGTAAACATAATCCCACACACAGAATAAACAGCAAATCTGATGTAAACATAATCCCACACACAGAATAAACAGCAAATCTGATGTAAACATAATCCCACACACAGAATAAACAGCAAATCTGATGTAAACATAATCCCACACACAGAATAAACAGCAAATCTGATGTAAACATAATCCCACACACAGAATAAACAGCAAATCTGATGTAAACATAATCCCACACACAGAATAAACAGCAAATCTGATGTAAACATAATCCCACACACAGAATAAACAGCAAATCTGATGTAAACATAATCCCACACACAGAATAAACAGCAAATCTGATGTAAACATAATCCCACACACAGAATAAACAGCAAATCTGATGTAAACATAATCCCACACACAGAATAAACAGCAAATCTGATGTAAACATAATCCCACACACAGAATAAACAGCAAATCTGATGTAAACATAATCCCACACACAGAATAAACAGCAAATCTGATGTAAACATAATCCCACACACAGAATAAACAGCAAATCTGATGTAAACATAAATCTGATCATAATCCCACACACAGAATAAACAGCAAATCTGATGTAAACATAATCCCACACACAGAATAAACAGCAAATCTGATGTAAACATAATCCCACACACAGAATAAACAGCAAATCTGATGTAAACATAATCCCACACACAGAATAAACAGTCAATCTGATGTAAACATAATCCCACACACAGAATAAACAGCAAATCTGATGTAAACATAATCCCACACACAGAATAAACAGCAAATCTGATGTAAACATAATCCCACACACAGAATAAACAGCAAATCTGAATAACCAAATGGATGTAAACATAATCCCACACACAGAATAAACAGCAAATCTGATGTAATCCCACACACAGAATAACATAATCCCACACACAGAATAAACAGCAAATCTGATGTAAACATAATCCCACACACAGAATAAACAGCAAATCTGATGTAAACATAACATAATCCCACAGACAGAATAAACAGCAAATCTGATGTAAACATAATCCCACACACAGAATAAACAGCAAATCTGATGTAAACATAATCCCACACACAGAATAAACAGCAAATCTGATGTAAACATCCCACACACAGAATAACCATCTGATGTAAACATAATCCCACACACAGAATAAGGAGAAACATAATCACACACAGAGAATAACCATGGAGATAAAAGTCACACACAGGGAATAACCATGGAGATAAAAGTCATACACAGAGAATAACCATGGAGATAAAAGTAATACACAGAGAATAACCATGGAGATAAAAGTCATACACAGGGAATAACCATGGAGATAAAAGTCATACACAGAGAATAACCATGGAGATAAAAGTCATACACAGGGAATAACCATGGAGATAAAAGTCATACACAGGGAATAACCATGGAGATAAAAGTCATACACAGAGAATAACCATGGAGATAAAAGTCACACACAGAGAATAACCATGGAGATAAAAGTCATACACAGAGAATAACCATGGAGATAAAAGTCATACACAGGGAATACCCATGGAGATAAAAGTCATACACAGAATACACAGAGAATAACCATGGAGATAAAAGTCATACAAAGAGAATAACCATGGAGATAAAAGTCATACACACAGAGAATAACCATGGAGATAAAAGTCACACACAGGGAATAACCATGGAGATAAAAGTCATACACACAGAATAACCATGGAGATAAAAGTCATACACAGGGAATAACCATGGAGATAAAAGTCACACACAGGGAATAACCATGGAGATAAAAGTCATACACAGGGAATAACCATGGAGATAAAAGTCACACACACAGAATAACCATGGAGATAAAAGTCATACACAGAGAATAACCATGGAGATAAAAGTCACACACAGAGAATAACCATGGAGATAAAAGTCACACACAGGGAATAACCATGGAGATAAAAGTCACACACAGGGAATAACCATGGAGATAACAGTCTCACACAGGGAATAACCATGGAGATAAAAGTCACACACTCAGAATAACCATGGAGATTAAAGTCATACACAAGCGTCATTGATTTTAATGACACAAAGATTATTCGTAAGTGATAATCTGCTAATCTGCTGGTGGAATTTAAGTCCCCGAGGTTTGACGTAATCTGCATGTCACGTTTAAAGTCATTCGAATAGTGGCACGGTTCAGAATATACACGCTGTCCTAAAATGGCCCGATGTCATTTATTCAATTACGGTGCTGCTCACCTTCCCGTCTAGATTATGGTTTTCTTTCGATCACTTTGGATTTTCCTTTGTCGCCTCCTAAATTTGAAAATTTAAGCTCTTAGCATCACTGACGAGTCCTAGAAGGACGAAACAACTGTATGATGCAGTTTAATTCATTGTTTGGCTCTACTGTATATATTTCTAAATTATCAAAATAGTTTGTTTTCACTTGTGTGTCTTTAGAACAATCTTACATATTACCCCAAGACGCAAATTATAGGAAGTTAATTGCACTGTTAATGAGCAACTATGTAAAACATAATTCTTGGAAGATATAGAAATAATATAATCATGTTCACAAAATTCAGGCAAAACACACGGTTTATTAATTGCCGTGTTTTTAACAACACAGTTCTTTATTGGAAAACAATCACAGGACAATACCCTTAGTTGATCTAGTTATGGTACTCCATGCCTTTCCGAACCAGTACGCCTTAACGTCTGAATACCTGGTCGGATAGGCAGGATGGGCAGTGTGTTGGTTGTAACATGCAAATTGTGGGGATATGCAGTGGATTCGCAGTAAGCAAAGTGTATAATTCCATTTAATATCACACCAGAGAACCGTAGTCCCGTCTGATATATCAGGTTGTTCTGTTAGCAAGTCATGCCATGGACTTGATTTTAATCATCGATTTTAAAGCTGATATTAAAAATACATTAAATTTAATACCTATTTGATACAGAACAGTGCCTCTCAATCTTACGATACAGAGTGTGTGTCTTTCAACGCCCGCCAACGATTTCTGTCTGTAGATTTGTATCCCGACCTCCTCGAATAATTATAACTCTGGTAGTGATTAAGCGATATTTGTACAGGGTATATCTTAGCGATCATTTTAAAAATCATTCCTCTTTCTGCATCCACGTGTTATCTACAATGTTGTCCTATCTTGGTTGGTTGATGGAGAAAACCTTTGTTCAGGAGAATCCCTACAATGGCATCTTCTGATGTCTATTGTATGTGGTGTTAAGTGTTACTCCAAGGACAATTCAGGTAGGTATAATAGTTTTTTCTGATTTGTGTTTTAGTTACTTAATATAAGTGGTACCTGTTATTGTAGATGTAACGCTTGTTCTTGGTTCTAGTAGATTGATATTTTAATATAACCCTACTTCCTGGTTTTAGTTGAACGATGTTTAAGTTACTTGGTATAACTCTGGGTCTAGTTGAACGATGTTTAAGTTACTTGGTAGAACTCTGGGTCTAGTTGAACGATGTTTAAGTTACTTGGTAGAACTCTGGGTCTAGTTGAACGATGTTCAAGTTACTTGGTAGAACTCTGGGTCTAGTTGAACGATGTTCAAGTGGGAACTCTGGGTCTAGTTGAACGATGTTTAAGTTACTTGGTAGAACTCTGGGTCTAGTTGAACGATGTTTAAGTTACTTGGTAGAACTCTGGGTCTAGTTGAACGATGTTTAAGTTACTTGGTAGAACTCTGGTTCCTGGTTTAAACTAAATGATGCTTAATTAAATTGGTGAATATCTGGTTCCAGCATATTTGAGTTGTGGTTTATTTTCTTGGATTAACTCTTGTTCCTGGTTCTAGTGAAAGCATTTTCCAATACCAATTCATTCTTCACATACCAATCTGTTGTTAATAAGAAGTAATTACACGACAGACAACACGATTGTGAATAAGGTGTTTACATATATTTACTTAATAAAATTTATACACAGAAACGTATTGACAATAATGGAATCCGAGGCTGTGGAAACACTACAATAAATTTGGTAACAACATTCCTACTGTCGGATAACGGAAAATAATAAAAATAGCATTTAATAAACCTCTATCACAGCATAAGGCACTGTTCACAACAGCTTAAGGATATCATAAACACAACATAAATCCCCGCTCACACCAACACAAACAGAACTACCTGACACAAGATCTATGCTGGACATAAAGATGTAACAATAATGACATAAGTGTACATTGTTTGACACCAAGGTCTCGCAAAGCATAAACATGACACGTGACTGTCTGTGTTGGCATGAACAGTACAACAAAACGATAAATGGCGAGGATGCTATTTAGAATATTGTTCGATCGACACAGTGGAAACGTGTCTAAAGCAAGATAAAACTTAAGGAAATAAATCACAAATTAATATTTTTAAAAACATCGGGATCATAATTACTAATTAGGAATACTACCAAGCGAAATGTTTGCATATTTTCTTTATCTATTGATAAAAATTATTGTTTTGAAGAAATGTTCTTGCAGCTTTACTAGCTGATGTATGTTTGACTTAACCGTGAAAAAGACAGATCAGTTGTACTCCTCTTCTGACTGAGAAAGTCAATATACTATAAGTTGGGAAGATGTGATTTTTCATGAAACCTAAAGAAATTGCACAAAAGAACAATATTGATAGAAAGGAACCTACACAAAAATACATTACAAAGACTGTTTTTTAAAACACACATTAGTTGTTTTGACCTTTTTTGATACCTCTTGCAAAAGGACATAACAATCCCTATCCAAATTAGAGGCACTTCATTTACAAAAGTATAAAATTGAGCAATAAACAAGTAGAATTAAGACATCATAAAGTTATGGCTTGACAAAGCTTGTAATTTATAGACAGCGGGAAAACTACCAAACGCATTAATTCTATATAATGTTATTTGAAAATAGTGGATAGATAAGACATCAAAAAGTTATGGCTTGACAAAGCTTGTAATTTAGACAGCGGGAAAACTACCGAACGCATGACGCATTCTGTATAATGTTATTTGAGAATAGTGGATTGATATGGACACCATGTGCTATAATCCGGTTCACAATAATCTAACCATGATTTCTAAAATTATACCAACGTTGCAATCGTTATAACTAATACTGAATATTAACAAAGTGTGTTTTAAACCCCCATTGCAGTTTTGAAGTGATAATAAAAATATCGACATTTAATCAGGACATGTTACGAAAATAGCTAACAAAGACCGCCCCGAGACAATTGTCCGCATTTTGTAGTCAATTATATAATTCACAAGTTTTGATAAAATCTATATTTCCAAATAAATAAGGAATACACGTTGTGTTCACATCAGTAGTTATAGGACAGCTTGACCCAGGTTATCAGATTAGTCAAATTACTCTGTTTTGTTGCCTCGTTTTCAGTTCACATGAGACTCCTGGATTTGTGTTTCGTATTACATCTAAATATGGAGGTAACACATCATTGTTTGTTGAAAAATCCATGTATGTTTCATTAGTTTTGAACAAGTGAACAGTTTTTGTTACATTTCCTATGTAGTAGAAAAATTGGATGGCGTTCTTTTGAACAAAACGAAGAGAAGAACAATCATGAACACGGAATTCAATTTCACTTTTCAAAAACTGTTTCAGTAGATACGCTTATAAGAAACCGTACTAAAGACAAAATTGTGAATATCATTTATACTTTCTGATTAATAAACAGTTACATACATGAATATTTATATAAACAACAGCATTACTTCATAAAGTAAACACCATATATATTTTACATGTTTATCAATATTCATTTCCATAGCAACAGTTGCTGTGGTAACATGTTGTTAAAACACTACCAGGTTTTGCTGTCCATGAATTTCTGTACCTCTGCGAATATTTCATCCACAGTTCCTGTTGCTACAATCTGGAATGACAAGGCGAGTATATAATTATTCAATCAATACCAGAAAATACCAAAACGTGAATATAATCATAACCCAAACTCAGTCAAACTAGGTCAAAATAAGAAGGAAAGAAAAAATACACAGAGAAAAAGTAAAAGATAATACGACGAGGTGTTTAAGAAGAGTAAACGTCCTCAGCTTCATCTACGATCCCTGGTCAATCCAAGTAAGTATCACGTTTTCAAATGAGAACAAGATATAAACCAACGGAATTAACAGGCAAATTAACGATCATCAAACATCTCCAGCTTCATATTGCACAATTTATGACATCATTCTTAACACTGGTCACGTGCTGATATTGATGTGATATTTCATGTCAACTGTTATATATATACTGTTGCATTATAATGCGATGAAGTATATTAGCTAGGGTCAGTATCTGACAAATGAGGAGAGGTTGTCATTACCTTCACGACTTTGTCCTTTGATGCGTAGTGGTCCACGACCGGTTTCGTCTGATTGTGGAAGGTTTGTAATCTCTTCTTAATCGTTTCTTCATTATCATCAACACGTCCACTCGTCTTCCCACGCTCCAAAAGTCTCTCCGTCATAGTCTCATCGGGCACTTCAAAGTACAGTACGTTTGTGCACTCCACAATCTGTGAATTAGAAACGGCATTCTTACTATGAAATCAGCAAATGTTTTACTAAACAGAAATCGGAGATACATTTCTATGTCATTTAGTCCAGTAATGACATAAGTGTACATTAACATTTTTTCATATTCATTGTAGCTTTCCTCCGTTACATAATTAATTAATTTTCCATACACTGAGTCAATGACTACACACAAGTAAGCATACATCGTCAATAATTTTACATATCTTTTCATGGGTAGCCTGCTGACTCCCCATCACCATTATCTCCAATATCTACTGTTTGTGCTATGTCGTTACACATAAGATATAAAATTTATGATGTACCATGGGTGATTCCACACATGTTGGTATAGAGTGTCAATTACAGTACGTTACATCATTATATCATCACACTAGTAATTTGTCTTCACTTACCTCATTCTCAAACCTTGTGCCCTGCTCTAGTTCCCTTGGGTAACCATCAATTAGGAAACATTTAGTAGTGCTTATTTTGGCGTTCATAGCATTACTCAATAGGGCCAGTACTTCATCCTGTAACATAAAAAGTGTCTCGTATCGGACATCACAATCCATACAGTCAGTATTGATAGAACCAACATGTAAAATGTTAAAGAGTAATCTATTACACAATACAAATTACTTGATCATGCTGACAAAATGAAAATTAGCCAGCTGATAAAAATATCAGAATAAAAAAGGGTACAAACAATAATTCCAAACTTGTATTAAATTTATTTATTAAAAATATTAATCATGAACTATATTTTTTTCAAATAAGTAACATGACAAAAGATGTTTCGTAGAATGTGTCTTTTGGTTGTTTAACGACAGACCGCCATGTTAATCTGGTAAAACATACCGAATGTTACAAAATGAGAAAATGTTTATCAGAAGGAAACCTAACTATCTGATACACGAATACTTATGTATATATGTACACCCTGTTCGAATATATGTAAAATATTAATCATTTTAAATCGTGTTAAGCAATCGTCGTTTGTAAATTGTTGACATTTCTTCTGCCAAATTTTCTTGCGGCAAACTTCCGTCATCTTCACTAAACCTAATCAACATGTGAAAGATAAGTCGGAATTCCCTCATCGCATAATCTTTTCTATCAGCTTCATTTATCATAGCCCGTCTGTGAAAAGGTATGTTAGCTTAGTCTCCATTGTGAATTTTCCATTTCTCGAAAGTGATAATCCTGCGTCCGCAACATATGATGTGCTACATTTCGTAGTAATTCGATATTCTAAGACCTGTTCCCTATATCACGATTTTCGTGATGGATTTCGACAATTGATTAACTAACCACCAAGAGACACAAGTTGATAAAGATTAAAGGGAAGTTTGATGGTCGTCATGGTGATCTTGACAGGTTATGTTTCCGTGAGCAATAGGAAGCAGGATGTGTTATAACAGAGGTATGATACATTGGTATACGAGAAGCTTATGAAACTGATTTACATTTGAGAACATGTCGTCACATTGATGAAGACTTTGGTGTAAGCCCTGCAGGTTTTCAATGTTATCGGTGTAAATATTATTTTGCCCTCCTGTCATCCATTTTAAGTTAGAATAATGATTTTGCAAACTTGTTGTTTTCATAACCTTTCCTTGATATAGGATCAGGCTACATTCCATTCTATGCCTTTTTTAAACTAGAACCATGGATTCTAATTTGTCTGTAACGTCTTTTGCTGACGTCATCATGTTTATTTGCGATCGGTCTTCCTCTTTCTTTTCTATACATCATTTCATCATACCAATTTTTGTAATATTGGCTAGGACGAGCTCAACTTGTTTGTTGATAAGACGGTATTTGTATCAGTTCCCTTACTCTAACCTCGTAAACTTATCCTTGGTTTTATTGTTCTCTCACGCAGCATCCGGCCGCCGTCTCACCTACACACCGTTAGTGGGAAAACATGCTGAAAAGTGCCGGTAGAAATTGTGCCAGTAGAAGCTGTTTAGATACATATCTATAGACACACACACATTACAAAAAATGATTGCTGTATATAACTATGATAGACTTTGTTGTTGCCATAACGACTCAGGATAAACCTGCAGTATGCCTCGAAGTACACTAGACTAATACTTGTCGATGTGTTTTATATCGACTAGTGTTATTGCATAACAATTACACGTGATGTGTTCTTCTCTCAGCTACAAGGGTATGCGTTATTGTTGCTCAAGGAGACTCTTGAAGAATATAGCTTGTATCGTCCTTTATATAAATGTCGCCATGCAAGCTATGATAGATACTACAGGTGATAACAAGTATAATGTATTGGAAACTGGCACAGCTATTCCCTTCTAGTTCCCCTCAGCAATAGCATGTGGCATTGTCCACACAACAAACACTTACTAACATATGATCAACCTGGGAAGAGCTCCCAGTCCCAAGCAATGTCCATTGTCTATAATCTAGAGACTATCCCGAGTCCGAACTCTCATACATCGTACCTAAACTTAGGCAGGCTAATGTATCACAACAAACGTCTGCTCACTGGCTTGTCTAAGTCTATAGGGGTCGTAACTACTAAACTATGCATAACATCAATTTTACATCAAACATCTCCAACATGTTTGGGCTTTTTTTCTTGACCGTGTAAAGGTTAAATCAGTCTAACTACAACTTTAAATTATACCTGCACCTTGCATGAGTAACCTTGGTTACTGTGTTAAACCAGTCTCACGTTCACCCTGAACTATACATGTAACCTTGGTTACTGTGTTAAACCTGTCTCACGTTCACCCTGAACTATACATGTAATCTTGATTACTGTGTTTAATCCGTCTGACGTTCATCCTGAACTATACATGTACAGGTAACCTTAGTTACTGTGTTAAACCAGTCTGACGTCCACCCTAAACTATACAGATACAAGTAACTTTAGTTACTGTGTAAATCTACTGTAACTACATCCCGAACTATACCTGTACAGGTAACCTTGGTTACTTTGTTAAACCAGTCTGACCTTCACTATAAACTATACAGATACAAGTAACTTAAGTTACTGTGTAAATCTAGGCCGACTACATCCCGAACAATACCTGTACAGTTAACCTAGGTTACAGTGTTAAACTAGTCTGTCTACATCCCGAACTTTACATGTACAGGCAACATAGGTTACTATGTAAAACCGTAAGTTTTTGTCTTAAGCAGGTAAACACCTGTAGAGACAATCTAATTACAACTACGAATATTTCGGTGATAATACTATACAGAGACCATCCAACTATTACCAAAAGTATCTTAGGGATATTTCTGTACAGAGACTGATTACTACCAAAAATCTCATTGGGTATAATACTACTAAACAGAGACTCACTTCTACCAAAAATATCTTGGTGGTACCACTTTACAGAGACAAACTTCTACCACAAATCTCTTGGTGGTACCACTTTACAGAGACAAACTTCTACCACAAATCTCTTGGTGATACTACTGTACAGAGACAAACTTCTACCACAAATCTCTTGGTGATACTACTGTACAGAGACTCACTTCTACCACAAATCTCTTGGTGATACTACTGTACAGATACTCACTTCTACCACAAATCTCTTGGTGATACTACAGTACAGAGACTCACTTCTACCACAAATCTCTTGGTGATACTACAGTACAGAGACAAACTTCTACCACAAATCTCTTGGTGATACTACAGTACAGATACTCACTTCTACCACAAATCTCTTGGTGATACTACAGTACAGAGACAAACTTCTACCACAAATCTCTTGGTGATACTACAGTACAGAGACAAACTTCTACCACAAATCTCTTGGTGATACTACTGTACAGAGACAAACTTCTACCACAAATCTCTTGGTGATACTACTGTACAGATACTCACTTCTACCACAAATCTCTTGGTGATACTACAGTACAGAGACAAACTTCTACCACAAATCTCTTGGTGGTACAGAGACAAACTTCTACCACAAATCTCTTGGTGATACTACAGTACAGAGACAAACTTCTACCACAAATCTCTTGGTGATACTACAGTACAGAGACAAACTTCTACCACAAATCTCTTGGTGATACTACTGTACAGAGACTCACTTCTACCACAAATCTCTTGGTGATACTACTGTACAGAGACTCACTTCTACCACAATCTCTTGGTGATACTACAGTACAGAGACAATCACATTTACCACAAATCTCTATGGGATACTTACCAGAGTAACTAACTCTCCCTTCTCCATGATTTCGTTGAGCCGTTTGCCGCGGTCAGAGCCAGATGAAACTTCGGCCCTGAGAAGATCCCCAGATGACAAGTGACAGAAACCATATTTCTCCACAATCTTAGCACACTGTGTTCCTTTACCACTACCTGGTCCACCTGTGATAAAATATTAAGAAATAATGTTATTGAGTGCCACTGATGGTCAATATTGCTCTTGAGGATGTCTCGTGTCACTGATGGTCAGTATTGTTTCGGGGGGATATCGAGTGCCACTGATGGTCAATATTGCTGTTGAGGGTGTCTCGTGTCACTGTTGGTCGTTATTGTTTTAGGGGAATGTTTTGCGTGACTGTTGGTCATCATTATTTTTTTGGAATGTCCCATGTAACAGTTGGTCATTTGGTTTTGGGTATGTCCCAAGTCACTTTTTGTCATTACTCTTTTTATGGATGTCCCGTGTCACCGCTGGCCATTGTAAATATGCTGGAAAGTTGTAGGAAATGAATGTAAATACTTAGTTTACAACAATCAATGGCTTAGATACACATATACAAATTAGTAGGAAAATGTTTTACCTTTCCATCGATGTATGATAGCGTATAGTGTCTGGCACTGTAATGGATAACGATCGCGCTGTTGTAAACTATATAAAACATTGCCGGAATGCCTACCCTTGCAAGGGTCACTAGTAATTGGGGTTTTTGTATAGGGTGGAATTCTGACTATCGTCCGCGACTGACAAAATAACTACCATAGGGAAATCGACACCGTTATTACTAATGACTATTTTTTTATGAACACCCAAAATAGACAATCAAACGAATTTCTTTTGCGACTAAGTTTCTTCATAAAATTTCCGGCGTCCAAGTACATTTCTTTTCATCAGAAATGATATTTTAAATTTTTAATGGTCTTCAGTTTATACCAACGTCCCTTCAACATTTATCTGGAAACTTTACCGGTGTCACCATACCATTGATATTGCTGGAGAAAACGAGACACCATGGAAACCAAAACATTTCAGTCAGTGTGTTTGTCTACATGTAACGGTTGCCAATGTAGAGACATTCACTATCAATCGAAAATGCCTTCCTGAAGCATGTTCATCTGCTAAAATACGTAATATTTACCATACCTTACTGGTAAACAGCGAATTTCTGTAGCATGGCGTTTTATATACCAGCAAAGTCTGATTGTTTAGATCACAACTGAATGTCTACAGTTATCTTCGGTAGGGGAGGAGAGGGGAGGGGAGCGGAGGGGACGAGAGGGTAGGGGAGCCTAGGGGGGAGGGAGGGGGAGGGGAGGAGAAGGGATGGGAGGGGAGGGGGAGAGGAAGGGAGGGGACAAAAACGGGAAAGGAGAGGAGGGAAGGGGAGGGGAGGATCTTCAGCAGATGTACACCTCCGCCACTGTATAAACAGCTGTTGCTAGCATCTCTCTAAATCACTGCTTATACACCTGGCTAACAGCTTAAGGCTAAATGCTATCAAAACTTATAAACACAAAATATATGATTATCTAATTCTCCTAAAATTACCTGTCATTCACAGCTAACGATAAACTCATTAAGCACGAGTCTTTTAAAACAAATTAAGTACTAATCGTCCATCAAAACGTCTTGTAATGTACCGATGTCATTTATTAATATTATTTTCATAATCCACGTACCTTCGCTCATAACATCCAGTAATAACACATACCTGTCGCATGACTCTTGTCCTAATAGGAAACTAACACGTGCAATGTGTATATTTATGTTTGTAATATAAAATAGGATATAAAATATTTATAGTTAGGATATCCACTCTTTACCAATCACAATTTATATATGTATTTATTTATTTTAATTTCTTCCCGCATTCTTTATGAATTTCTATGCTTTAGGCCTCAAGCTTAACTAAAATGAGAAAAAAACGTATGGACATATGCTTATTGTTCATTCATATTTAATGTGTTATTCCAAGTTCTATTCGTGTAATGGTATTAGGGAAGAATCGTAAGGAATATATATAATTATCATTGAAAATCACAACATAAATACCTCAGGTAATTAGCAACTGGACACATTCGCTCTTTAGATTACCTAAGGTTATTAACAACTGGACACATTCGCTCTACAGATTACCTAAGGTTATTAACAACTGGATACATTCGCTCTACAGATTACCTAGGGTTATTAACAACTGGATACATTCGCTCTTTAGATTACCTAAGGTTATTAACAACTGGACACATTCGCTCTACAGATTACCTTGGGTTATTAACAACTGGATACATTCGCTCTTTAGATTACCTAGGGTTATTAACAACTGGATACATTCGCTCTACAGATTACCTAGGGTTATTAACAACTGGATACATTCGCTCTTTAGATTACCTAAGGTTATTAACAACTGGACACATTCGCTCTTTAGATTACCTAAGGTTATTAACAACTGGACACATTCGCTCTTTAGATTACCTAAGGTTATTAACAACTGGACACATTCGTTTCGCTCTTTAGATTACCTAAGGTTATTAACAACTGGACACATTCGCTCTTTAGATTACCTAAGGTTATTAACAACTGGACACATTCGCTCTTTAGATTACCTAAGGTTATTAACAACTGGATACATTCGCTCTTTAGATTACCTAAGGTTATTAACAACTGGACACATTCGCTCTTTAGATTACCTAGGGTTATTAACAACTGGATTCATTCGCTCTTTAGATTACCTAGGGTTATTAACAACTGGATTCATTCGCTCTGTAGATTACCTAGGGTTATTAACAACTGGATTCATTCGCTCTTTAGATTACCTAGGGTTATTAAAAACTGGATTCATTCGCTCTTTAGATTACCTAGGGTTATTAACAACTGGATTCATTCGCTTTATAAACATAAATTTATCTAGATATGCGAAGATCTTCACTGGAAATGTTACTCAATTATCATATACGGTGTTTCAATGTGTTTCCTAATTAGCGGATTGTCTCTGAACATTTTCAGATACCAAATAAGAAAATAAACATTCTTTTGCTATTTTTAACAAAGATTGAGTATGAACATTCAGTTTTTAAAAAAATCAAACATGAAAATTGCAAACCTGTAAATCAGGGCATTTTATAGCTTTTATGTTGTGTGGCTTTTTTTTACATCTTTCCAGTCATACTTGAATAAGACAAGATACAATATACAGATGATGCACCTTTAACTCTATTTAAAATAAATACACGTGCCGCTGTAACAAACAGACGCACTTGTTTACTTACCGACAACAAATATCACTTTAGCATCCTTGAGACTGGGCGCGGCGTCCGTACTCTCCTTCTTTCCTTTAGCTCCTAAAAAGATCACACATTATAATTAGCCTGTTGTTTACAAAAAAATCTCACTCCTATCAAAAATCACGAAATTAAAGAATAATTTAGAAATTTCAATAATATAATTTACCTATACAGCCCATATCTCCTAAATCTGGTAGCTCGTCAATGCAAAATTGCCTAACTACTATCACCGTTAACGGTCAGTGCTGATTGTGACGCGGGGATGGTCAGGCTACACTTATTAAATGATTACAGCCAATAGCTGGACATTGTGGTCGATGTTATTCATTAGGGGTAGGTATCTCACGTGTTTGCAAGATTTTAAAATTGAAATAATATTACTTATAGATATGTAAATGTTGGGGAAGAATGAGCAACGTGGAAATCACCCCTCTTGATAGGAATGGACTATTCTAGTATTGAGGTCAGACTACGTGCATGATAGATATCCCTCCTGACTCATCCTACACCCCTCTGTGTGTTGGAAATATAGCTTAGTCTGGTATTCACATTTCAATACTGATCGACGCGCGTCTGACGAACTTCTCCAATTTCTGAATATAAATCTACAACACCCTGTAGCACCGCGCCATTTCACTAATTACCCAACCTCTGTAACTGACTCTACTGTAAGTAACACGAAGCTGTTATAAAAAATCTCCTATTGTGAGTGTCAGTCACCTTTGCTCATCCAGGTAACCCGGTAGTAATGAATATAAGGCTGTTATTTATGTAAAACGCCTGTATATCTGGTTCATACAGAGTGCACTGTCATTGGATTCAGTTTTCGTTTATACAGTGTTTCAATAGCTTGTTTCTTCCATAATCCCTGCTGTCTATGTTTGAACTAATCATATTTTTTTCCATTGACCAGCGGCTAGTGATAGTAACTCATGTTTTCCGGCAGAGACGCCAAACAACCCTGAAATTTTTCCTACAACTAAGGACTGGTTTAGATCCAAGTCCGTGTGTTTAAATCTCTAATTGGACTTTTTTTTTTATACAAGCGCGGATTTTTACAGATGACTGTCTATGTTTTTGTTATCAAACGAATCTACCGAGACAATTGTATTTAGTTTTCTATCCAGTTTTTACAGATTTATCCATAAAGGGAGCTGTGTATGGAGTTTTGTTGGTTTTTTTTTTAAATCTTTTCCATGGAGACCGCAGTTTCTAGTTTTCAAAAAATCTTACCAACCAGTAAAGGCAGTAGGTTTCATGCTTTTCAAAAATCGCACCCATGTATGCAGCTTTGTCTAGTTTCTTTTAAGTCTGATCTAAGGAGACAGCTTTGTCTAATTTTTTATCAATTTCATCTTCTGTATTTTGTTATAAAGCATAGAGATTGTTTCTACAATAAAATAGGGGTTGTCTCCCTTACATTAACAAAGCGACGTTGAATGAACATCGTACAATGTGGGTTTTATTTTTCCTTGACCTGTAGGTGATATAAAGCGACAAAAGCGTTGTAACCTAGGTTATTCAATAAATTCCATTACTGTTAAATATTAGATCGATTCGACAGAACGCTAATCACATATTTATAATGCGCCATTCTTCAAATGAATCAAAATGTAGCATGCAGGTTACAGCAAACCTTGGAGATTAAATTTAACCAGCAGAACGTGTAACACATTCCTGGATAACTTATCTTACGCGCTTCCTTACAAATTACAATGACGCATAACTAAAAATACAATATTGCAATTTATTTGTCCTGTGAACAAAAATATTTCCTCCTCGCGGATAAATGATATACAGTATGAAAGCATAGTACTGAAAATAAACACAAAAGTGAATGATAATTTCCAACACAAAACTAGAATAAGAAACATTACTGCTAAATAATAAATTTAACTGCGTTATACATCTGTTTCGTCCTTCTAGGACTCGTCAGTGATACTACATCATACATCTGTTTCATCCTTCTAGGACTCGTCAGTGATACTACATCATACAGTTGTTTCGTCCTTCTAGGACTCGTCAGTGATGCTACATCATGCATCTATTTCGTCCTTCTAGGACTCGTTAGTGATTTCAGGAGTCTAAATGTTCGGAGGAGAATGAAGAAAATGAGAATGGATCGAAATCATCTTACAAATGGTTTTCTAATATAAATCTTGATTTGTTTATAAAGAAAATACCTTTCACAGACCAGCTGGGATCCATGCGCACAATTCTTTCTGTCTAGTTTTGATGTAACACCCGAATCCCATAAAAGCAAGTTTGATTTTGAAGAATTTCGACTTATTATACCCCAAATCATTTAGAACATTTATTTTCCCTTCTCACAATTTTTGCAGAAATGTTCTATCACATTAACCCGTTTAGAATGTGGAGTAGTATCTGTTTATCAAAATGATATTGAGCTATCAGTGATTGTAAAGGAATAAAAAGACAAGACACACCAGTGCATAGCACCTTTTAAATTGAAATTTAGAACAAGACACACAATAATCTGACCTACACAGCCGTGCCGTCCTTACAGGACAGGTCAGTACTGTTGGGCAATAGTATAAAGGATTGAATTTCCAGTCCTATTTGATAGATTATATAACCAGAATGTTTTATTTTTCATCCTTGGCATTAAATATATAAAGAAAACAACATATTTTCTACGAATTTTATGTTTATTGCTGTAAATATTGAATGATATTGGAGCTGGTTATATGACTGAGTGTGTGATCAAGTGCTGGAAGGCCGGTATCAGTGGCTTCTTACGTAAGACTGGGTACAAAAAGGTCATATACATAGGCTGAGGAGCAGATTCGACTCGAACCAAGTCCTCGGTTGCTGTTTCTGCCGACATTTTGGGGATCTTGCTTTTTCTATCGACCTAAAAGACCATCACTAACCACGTGCGATATTCATTCCTTTCTGCTTTGTGCTATTTCATTGTTTCGGTTTAAACCTTTCGTGACACGCCCATTGAATTGTGTAACGGTTCTGAATATACGCGTGTTTGAAGTTACTTTCAGAAAATTTATGAATTATAAGTTTAGCGCATCTCGTCAACTTTAATTTAACACAATGTACTTTATAATGACTATATATTGTAGAACAAGTGAATATTTTTCAAGTTTACATGGTTGTCTAAGTTTAACCATGCCTTGTCAGTCGATCATACAGTAACGTTTCAGATTGCAGTGGACCTGTGTACCTGTTGCCTCTCGTATCACTATCAGATTGGTCGCGACCACTCGCCGGCAGCAGATCCTGATTGGTTAGAGTTAGCGAGGGAAAATGGAAATTTCTAAATATTGATTTATAATTAGTTCCATAGCTAAAGTTTTTCCCCCTCCTATTTTCAAAACAAACTCAAACGCCATATTTTTAGAGTCATTTTTGCTTTGAAACGTTTCTCTTCAGGGCGACATTTTGGTCAAATACCAGAAACCAAGCTACGATGGAAACAGCGGTTTCATAAAATATTTCTGAAATGTTTATCAAACAAAAGAAACTGTGTTACAACATAAGAATTAACCGGTCCAGTATACTGTATATCAACAACCTGATGAGGTGACAGACGAACGATATAGCTGACAGCACGGTCTGCTAATCACTACCAAGTCATAAGTTCCATTACTACACCAATTGGTAAATCATTCGTTGCTTCAACTGGTGATCAATGAAATATGACTATATATATTTACACATGTATACTGTAAAGCATTGGTAAGGAATTTAACATATACCGGGGAGGGGTGGATCCCCAAATAATCTAGGTAGTATAAATTTGATGAAATGTTTTTGTGACCAGCTTTAATATAATTATCACATTTGTCAGTTTTAACCTAGAGATCCAAATAATAACAGTCATATAAGTTATAAAATCTACCCGGACCAATCAAACTATTACCGGCAGTTAGAATCAGTCTTAATCAAACTTTAAACGTTTAATGGTGTTCACTAGGGCCACTATGGTTTTGTACGTCCATGGTGTTCACTAGGGCCACTATGGTTTTGTACGTCCATGGTGTTCACTAGGGCCACTATGGTTTTGTACGTCCATGGTGTTCACTAGGGCCACTATGGTTTTGTACGTCCATGGTGTTCACTAGGGCCACTATGGTTTTGTACGTCCATGGTGTTCACTAGGGCCACTATGGTTTTGTAGGTCCATGGTGTTCACTAGGGCCACTATGGTTTTGTACGTCCATGGTGTTCACTAGGGCCACTATGGTTTTGTACGTCCATGGTGTTCACTAGGGTTACTATGGTTTTGTATGTCAATGGTGTTCACTAGGGTTACTATGGTTTGGTATATCAATGGTGTTCACTAGGGTTACTATGGTTTGGTATATCAATGGTGTATCAATGGTGTTCACTAGGGTTACTATGGTTTTGTATATCAATGGTGTTCACTAGGGTTACTATGGTTTTGTATATCAATGGTGTTCACTAGGGTTACTATGGTTTTGTATGTCAATGGTGTTCACTAGGGTTACTATGGTTAGGTATATCAATGGTGTTCACTAGGGTTACTATGGTTTTGTATGTCAATGGTGCTCACTTGGGTTACTATGGTTTTGTATGTCAATGGTGTTCACTAGGGTTACTATGGTTTTGTATGTCAATGGTGTTCACTAGGGTTACTATGGTTTTGTATGTCAATGGTGTTCACTTGGGTTACAAGGGTTTGGTACATGACTGTTGCTCTGTATAGTTACTGTAGTTTGAAGAAGTCATGTTAATTTGTAGGATTACTATGTGTTAGAACATTCTTAGTGACTAATGTAGGGGCACTACAGTTTGCTATAATAAACATTACTTACATACATAGATGTAAATAAAAAGGAGGGCAATTCCCAACATGCCACTTCCATTTCCATCAATAATATTCTTATCTTACAGGAGTTCTATCATTGTATCATTCATTCAGTGCTAACAATTAATTTAAGGTACTCTACAGATTGATAACAAGATGTTATTATATGTGTAAGATAATTATTATTAAGCCTCGAAAAAATTCAATGTTATCATTAGCTTTAATTCCTTAATTTAGAAGTTGTTCAGAA